GCTGGCTCTTGCTTGCTTGTTATTGCTCGCTTGCGCTTGCTTGCTTCCGCTTGCTTGCTTGCGCTTGCTTAATTTTCTTCCTCCCGTCATCCTCCCGTCCTGCTCCCCTCCTCCTTTCGTCCTCCTCCCATCTTCCTCTCGTCCTCCTCCTGTCCTCCTATCTATTTGGAGTCAACGCTGGCTGATATACAGAATTGGCGACTTTGGCAGCTTTTCGATTGGGGATCGACGAGTTGTGCAACCTTTTTGGTTTTTTGTCGGTGCGGGCTCGGTTTTCGATATTATGTAATTTAGATTTTCTGGATTGGGAATTGACGAGTTGCGCATCCTTTTCGTTTCGTCATATCGCGCTCGGTGTTTGAATATTGCGTCCAACTTCTAAGTCAAAAAGGTCACACATGCAAGCCGAACCTAACCCGACGAAACGACAAAGGTTGCACAACTCGTCGGTCCACAAAGAGAAAACTGCACAAGCATTCTAAGCCAAAAAGGTCGCAACCGTTCGAAACCCGAGCCCACCCCGACGATGCGACAAAGGTTGCATAACTCGTCGGTCACCAATCCAACAAGCTGCACAAGTCGTCAGTTCTAAGTCAGAACGGTTGCACAAGTTCGGAAGCCGAGCCCAACCCGACGACACGACAAAGGTTGCACGACTCGTCGGTCCCCGATATATTTTCCCAACCAAAAAAGCGCACAAGTCGTCAACTCTAAGCAAAAATCTTGGACAAGTCCCACCGACGAAACGATAATGGTTGTACAAGTCGTGGGCGTCCGGTTATCAATTCTGAACCGAAAAGGTTCCGCAAGTTCGAAGACCGAGCCCACCCCGACGAAACGACAATGGTTGCACAATTCGTCTGTTCCCATCCAAAAAAAGCTGCACAAGTCGTCAACTCGAACTCAAGAAGGTTGCACGAGTCCGAACACCGAGCCCAACCCGACGAGACGACAAAGGTTGCGCAACTCGTCAGCTGCCAAAACAGCTGCACAAGTCGCCAGTCCTAACCCAAAAAGGTCGCGAGTTCGACAACCGAGCCCAGGCCGACGAAACGACAAAGTTTGTACAATTCGTCGGTTCCAAATCCATAAAGTTGGACACGCCATCACTGCGAAATTAACAAAAGGTGGCAAAAGTTCGGAATCCGAACTCAAACCGACGAAACAGCAAAATATTGCACAACTCTTCGTTTCCCACTCAGAGAAGCTGCACAATCTGGCAATTCTAATTCAAAAAGGCTGGACAGTTCGAACAACGAGCAAACGATCCCAACCCGACGAAACGACAAAAAGTTGCACAACTCGTCGGTTCCCATTGAGAAATAATTGCACAAGGCATCTATTCGAAATCAATTTGGCATACAAGTTTGAAAATAAACAAGTTGCACAACGCGTCGCTTCTCAATAAAAAGTGCTGCACATGTCGTCGGTTCTGAGTCACACAGGTTGCACAAGCTCGAAAATCGAGCCCAACCCGACGAAACGAAACAGGTTGCGCAACTCGTCAGTTCCCAATAAAGGAGCTGCACAAGTCGTCCACTCTCAACCAAAACGGTTACTCAGGTTCGAAAACCAACCCTGATCCGACTAAGTAAGATAGGTTGCACAACTCGTCGGTTCCAAAGGAAAAAAGTTGCACAATGCGTCATCTCTAATTCAAGAAGGTTGCACAAGTTCAAAGACTGAGCACGACCTGAAGGCGACAAAAGTTGCACGACTCGCCTGTTCCCGATCTGAAGAAGCTGCACAAGTCGCCAATTCTTAAGCCAACAGGGTTGCACAAGTTCGAAAACCTAGCCGGATCCGACACAGCCAAAAAGGCTGCAAAGCCTGTCGGTTCCGAAACAAAAGATGCACAAGCCGCCAACTCTAACTCAACGTGCTCGCACAAGTTTGACAACCGAGCCCGACCCGACAAAGTCGTCGGTTCCCAGACACAGGAAGCTGCAGAAGTTGTCAGCACTTAATCAGAAAGGTTGCACGGGCTCGAAAACTGAGCCCATCCCGGCGAAATGAAAAAGTTGCACAATTCGTCGCTTCCCAATCAAAAGCTGCACAAGTCGTCAGTTTTCATGCAGACAGGCTGCACAAGATCGGGAATGAGCCTGGCCCGACAGCACGAGAAAGGTTGCACAACTCGTCGTAACCCACTCAACAAAGCTGCACAAGTCGGCAATTCTCAAAAGTTGCACAAGTTCGACAACCGAACCCGACCCGACAAAACGAAAAAGGTCGCATATCTCGTCGCTTCCCAATCCAAGAAGCTACACCCGGCGTCTGTTCTCCATCAAAAAGTTGCACAAGGTCGAAAATCGAACCCAGCCCGGCAAAACGGAAAACAAAAAAACAAAAAATAAAAATCGTCGCGTCCCAATTCAAAAAGTTGCACAAGTCGTCAGGTCTCAATCGAAAAGATTACAAATTCGACAACCGAGCCCGACCCGACAAAACGAGAAAGGTTGCACAAATCGTCGGCTCCCGAACCAACAATCTGTACAAGTCGCCAATTCTTAATTCAACAAGGTTGCACAAGTTCGAAACCCGAGCCCGGCCCGACAATATGAAAAAGGCTGCACAATTCGTCGGTTCCCAAGACGAAAAGTTGCACAAGTCGCCAAATCTAATTCAAAAAGGCTGGACAAATTTGAAAACCGAGCCCGACCTGAAGACGACAAAGGTCGCACGACTCGCCGGTTCCCAATCTGAAGAAGCTGCACAAGTCGCCAATTCTTAATTCAACGAGGTTGTATAAGTTCGAAAACGGAGCCAGATCCGACACAACGAAAAAAAACAAATCGTCGTTTCCCAAACAAGAAACTGCACGAGCCGTCAACTCTAATTGAACAAAGTTGCACAAGTTTGAAAACCGAGTCCGACCCGACAAAGTCGTCGGTTCCCAATCAAAAGAAGCTGCGCAAGGTGTCAGTATTCAATCAGAAAGGTTACACGGATTCGAAAACCGAGCCCGGCCCGGCGAAACGACAAGGTTGCACAATTCGTCGTTTCCCATTCAGAAGTTGCAGAAGTCGTCTGTTCTCAATCAGAGGAAGGTCGCAGAATTCGAAAGCCGAACCCGACCCGCCAAAACGAGAAAAGGTTGCACAGTTTGTCGAGTTCCAATCAGAAAACTGCACAAGTCGTCAGTTCTCCATTAGAAACGTTGCGCAAGTTCTGAAACCGAGCCCGTCCCGACAAAGACGAAAAATACACAACTTGTCGTTTCTAAATCAAAAATGCTGCGCATGTCGTCCACTCCCAACCAAAACGGTTGCTCGAGTTCGAAACCGAGCCCGATCCGACAAAATTAAAGGGTTGCAGAACTCGTCGGCTCCCAAGCAAAAGGCTGCAGAATTCGTGAGTTCTCAATTAGAAAGGTCACACAAGTTCGAGATCATATTCCGTCCCGACAAAATGCCAAAAGTTTCACAACTCGTCGCTTCCCAATCAAAACAAGCTGCATACGTCGTGAATTCTAAGTCAAAGAGGTTGCACATCATTCGAAAACCGATCCCACGTTGACGAAACGACAAACGTTGCACAACTCTTCGTTTTCCTCCTTAAAAATTGCACAAGTCGTCAGTTCTCAATCGCAAAGGTTACACCAGTTCGAGAACCAAACGTCTGGTCGCACACGCCCGGGAACTTAGAGAACTTACGGGCCCATCGTTATTTTTCCAGGTATTCAAGTTTAGGAACTTTAATTTCAATCGAGAAGGGTGTTGGCTCTTGCTTCGGGTCGCTTTTGCGCGCAGCCGATGTCAGGTTTCCACCCGAGAACCTCGCCACAGCAACATAATGACAATCTGACAGTCGAGGAGTGCAGCGCATTGCGATGGTGGAAGCACCGCCCAAGCAGATTTTGACCTCACGGTAAGCCGCTTGCTGAAGCAACGGCGCCGCGAAAATGGATTAGACGTCTGCCTTCAAATTGACTCTCGCCCCCCTTGTGCGGCAAAGATGCAGGCCGCCCTGTTACTTACAAACGGGGGCGGAGACCATCAGCAGGTCTTGCCCATTTTGCTCCGGGGCGGATAGTGCCCCTTCCCTGCCAGGTCGATCAGCGAGTCCGCCCGTGGGCTTTTTTTTTCGTCTTCTCGAGAACGAGGCAGCGCCATGTTTGCGGGGCCTGCGCCGCGGGGTTTCGTCCCCACAAGCGTTGTGAAGAACAGGGTCCCCTCCCAGCGGCCAACCCCCGACCTGAGCAGAACCCCCCCCGACTTGAGCATGACTCACTGTCGGTGTCGCCCCGCCGGCGCTGCTTCGCTTGAGGCGAAACAATCGCGTGCCAAGCGGTGGGCCGCTGTCGACCTTCGGCAAACCTCATACAGCCAGCGGCTCGTGCGTTTTGAAGCGCGGGCCCCGACCTTTCGACTACACCCCTGGGGCGGGCTTTTCGTCCCGACAAATGTGTTTGACGATCCCGGGGCCCGAGGCCACCCCAAGGAGGCCAAGTATGAAGAAAAGCACGATGTCCCTGTTTACTCGCAGACATCTGCTGTTGGGCATCGCCCAGGAGCCCCCATACACCAGGACATGATTGACGAGGACTTTGAAAAGTCCACCCGGGAAGAACGAAGAATGGAGCATGTTGCGACCTACAGTTGCAGTTCATTTTGGCACGCCAATGTCTCGGTTTACGAAAGCCCCCGATCAGAAGGCCTTGGATCGAGCCCAACTTTTCATGAGCTGACACCTAGCACCCATACCTTATACTTGTGCGACCCCAAGTTTTCTTGGAGTAGAATTCCGTGGGTGCAATGGGTGTATGTTTGTGTTGTCCAATGAGGGCCCCGTTCGAACGGAAGCCCCCTTCGGGGTCCGACAACCCGCACCCATACTTATAGCGCCTTCATCTCCTTGCTTTTCCCCGTTCCTCCTCCCTACAGATTGGACTGCGTGCGTCATTTGTTCATCACCTAGTCCGTGCCCATCCCGGGCGTGCCGATCTAATCGGGGCCGCCCGCCCCCCTTGCCGCCCGCCCGCTGCCTCCAGTTCGGAGGTCTTCGGCGTCCTGCGGCCCGGGGGCGAGTGGCTGCAGGGCGAGCTGCGGTATCGAGACGGCGAGAGGGAGAGGCGCGATGTGGAGGGAGGGAGGTCGTCCTCCCACCACCTCCTCCTCCTCCTCCTCCTCCTCCTCCTCCTCCTCCTCCTCCTCCTCCTACCCCTCCCCCTGCCCTTCCTCCTCCTCCTCTTCCTCCTCCTCCTCCTCCTCTCCTCCTCCTCCTCATCTCCTCCTCCTCCTCCTCCTCCCTCCTCCTCCTCCTCCTCCTCCTCCTCCTACCCCTCCCCCTGCCCTTCCCCTCCTCTCCTCCTCCTCCTCCTCCTCCTCCTCCTCCTCCTCCTACCCCTACCCCTCCCCTCCTCTCCTCCTCCTCCTCCTCCCCTCCTCCTCCTACCCCTCCTCCCTCCCTCCTCCTCCTCCTCCTCCTCCTCCTCCTCCTCCTCTTCCTCCTCCTCCTCCCCTCCTCCTCCTCCTCCTCCTCCTCCTCCTCCTCCTCCCCTCCTCCTCCTCCTCCTCCTCCTCCTCCTCCTCCACCTCCACCTCCTCCTTATTATCTTCCTCCTCCCCCTACCTCCTCCTCCTCCTCCTCCTCCTCCTCCTCCTCCTCCTCCTCCTCCTCCTCCTCCTATTCCCCCTCCTCCTCCTCCTCCTCCTCCTCCTCCTCCTCCTCCTCATTCTCTTCCTTCTCCTCCTCCTCCTCCTCCTCCACGTCCTTCTGTTCTGGGCCTTCGGGGAGGGTGCCTTTTGAGGCCACGGCTGGAGCCGCAGAAGAAGCGAAGGCCACGGAGTGTCGCGCAGTCTTTGCTTTTGGGCCTCGGGGCAAACGCTTCGGTTGTCGCCAGCACGGTCGGACTCGCTCAAAAAGGGTCAAGGAGCGTTCTGAAGTGTTTCAGCGTCTCTCCCCCTTTTCCCGGTGATTCTCCCTTGTCGCGCCAGTATACGTACGTGTCATCAGGGCGGGTTGGGCGTCTCGCTTGAAACTACATCACCGCTTATGTCTATGAAGTTTGGAACGTCGAGCAGTTATACGGATGGAGTTCGATGTCGTTTCAAAACGTGGTTATCGCCGTGGTACCGCGGAAACTCGTTTTGGAATACCAAACGGCTACACGGATGGACGGCGGTATGTTTCAAATGTGATTCTTTCTTTGGCGCCACGCGCATTCGTCGTAACAGTTTCCGACGTCATACGGATAGAGGGTGGTATCTCTTCAAAAGGGAGTGTTCGTTTTGGCGCCGCGCATACTCGTTTTGAAAATAACAGCTGCACGGATGGAGAGTGGTTCCTTGTTCACAGTGCGGTTCTCGTTTTGGCGCCGTGCATGCTCGTCTTTAAAGAACATGATTGTCAAAGTGCGGTTCTCGCCATGACGCCGCGCGCATCTTTTTTGAACAGGTCAGATTGCAATAGTGATGGAGGGCGCTTCCTTCTCAGAATGGGGCTCCCGCTTTAGGCTCGAGTTCGTATGGCCCACAGACCAAAACTGTGCAACAGGTAGAAGGATAGAGGGCGGCTCAATGTTCAAAATGATGTCGCTTGGGATGCCCTCAGATTATACAACGAGGGGTTCCACAACGCGCCACGAGGATGGAGGGCAGATCATTTTCATTATGGTTTCTCGGTGGAGACTTCTGTGAACTGTTCGTTGGTCTTCACACCTGTGTTCCACGGCTGGACAACGGGGGTCTCGCCTGAATGTTGCATGTCTTACAGCTAGCAGGACGGCGGGCGGATCCTTTGCAGAAAGGGGTCTCGCCTGAGTGGCAGGACCACGGGGCGCTCGTTCTGCACGAAGGGGCGCCTGCCGCAGTGGAAAGGAAGATTTGCAGGCACTCGCGAGGAGGGACTTGGCACGGGAGGGAGCATTGCAGTATTGCAGCACCGGTGGCGCATCTTGGGTTTATTCTGGCCCTCGTCCTCCTCCTCATCCTCCTCGTCCTCCTCCTGGTCCTGCTCCTCCTCATCATCATCCTTGCTTCCGCCCCCTCGGCCATTTCAGTGAGGAGAGTAGGCTGGTCGACTTCGCAGCAGAAGCTTCAGACCTGATTTTACAGGGGGCAAGCTGTAGCTTGCCTCCTCCTCTCCTCCTCCTCCTGTTCCTTCTCTTCCTCCTCCTCCCTCATCACCATCATCATCACCACCACCAGCTTCATCGCGCCCTTCTCCTGCTCATCCTCATCCTCCGTCCTCGGTTCTCCGTCCTCCTTCTCCTTTTTCACTTGCTCCTCCTCCTCCTCCTCCTCCTTTTCCCCGTCCTCCTCCTTCTCCTCCTCCTCCTCCTCCCCATCCTCCTCCTCATCATCATCATCAGCAGCAGCAGCATCAGCATCAGCATCATCAACATCCTCATCGTCAGCCTCATCCTCATCCTTCTCATCCTCGTTCTCATCCTCCTCCTCCTCCTCCTCGTCCTCCTCCTAATCCTACCTTCTTCTTAATTATCCTCCTCCACGACCTCCTCCTCCTCCCCTCTGGACGCAGCCCAGGCACGGCACGGTGCGGCTGAGGTTCCGCGCCGACTTGCAGGCCGAGACCCCTCTGCGCTCCCCTCCGACGGGCCGGCGGACGGCGGCGATGACGGCGAGCTCGTCCGCCCCACTTCTCGGGGAGGCCAAGAGGCACATCCACGGCCCGAGAAGCGGCAGCGGCGGGAGGGCGCGCATTAGGAAGGCAAGAGGGAGGAGCGAGGAGCGAGGACGGTGGTGCAGGAGGAGGAGGAGGAGGAGGAGGAGGAGGAGGAGGAGGAGGAGGGGGAGGAGGACCAGGGGGAGGGGGAGGGAGGGAGGGAGGGAGCAACAGTTCGGGCGGGTGTCCGTCCTATCGCGCGGGGTACTAGCGCCCACCGCGCCCACCTCGTGTGGCGAGAAGTGCCGCTTGTGCGAGCAGGGGTGGGGAGACTACCCTCCCCCCTGGCGTGGTTTGCGGGGACCCCGACTGGAAACCAGAGACGGGAGGTGGTGATAAGGGCGGGACTTGCCCCCTCTGCACGCCTGCGGACAGAGAGACGCTGGCTGCACACGATTTAGCATGCGTGATGCGGCGCCCAGACAGCGGCGGCGACACCTTGAGGCAACCCCCGCGGCGGCCCAGAGAGAGGGCAACGGAACAGGAGCAAACCGCTCGCGGAGCCCATAGGGAGAGGAGGGGCGCTAGCACTGGTGTGCCGCGCGCTTAGCAGCAAGGAGAGCCTGGAGACTGTCCTGGAGGGACGCCCCGGGGTGAAGCGGCAAGACGGAAGGCCTGCTGGAGGTTTGTCCAAGGCAGCGTTCAGTGAAATTTGTCTAGCATAGGAGCTGACTGCACCCGGATGTGCTGGAGAGACTAGGCGAGGTGATTGGCCTGCTGGTGAAGCGGGTGGATGCTAGCGATGAGGATCAGTCGCCCTCTGGCAGCGGGCTGGTCGCTGAGAGGTGCTGCTTGAAGAAGTGCGAACGGTCTGTTCGTTGGGTCCCATCGCCCCGAGCCCTCCACCGACGGCGGTCGCAGGCTGTTTGCTGCTCCCCACACCCTGGTGTGACAGGAAGCTGGCCTGGTGGTGAGGCGGGCTGTTGGTGCGGCCTGTTCAAGTCGACCACGGGCGAGTTGCGCATGGCCGTCGGAGAGCCTTGGGTGGCTCACGTCGTGTGGTCACGGTGTTAGTTATATGTGGTCGTCTCTGCTACGACTTAGGGAGGGGGATCTCGCGACCTTCGTCGTCGTCTTCATTCAGGGAGGCGCCAAGCCCAAGTGGGGTTTGCTTCTCGCAGTCGAAGTGGTCAAGCAGGCTCGTCCATGGGTCGTCAAGGTGATCAAAGTAGTCCGTCCCTGGTGGACCTGCGGGTCCGCCTTGTGAGCCTGGTTCATGCCCGCCTTGCCCACTGGCGGGAGGGTTGGGTTTCATCTGAATGAGTTCAGCCCTTGAGTAGCCCGCTCTTCCGTCTGGCAAGGGGAGCGTCTGGTGACGCTGGCCAGAAATCGAGACGGCCGTGCTGTGACGGACGGCCGCGAATTTGCGTCGCCATTTAGCTGCGTCGATGAGGCCTTATGGTACGCTGTGCAGGCGTGCGCCAAAGGTGGCGAGTTCCTTAGAGCGGCGGTTAAAAACCTCCACGATCGGCGTGATACGCCTCTCGTTTATGCCTTGCTCTCCCAGGTGGCTCTCTACCTTCTGGACGTTGAACATGTCTGCCTTGGCCCGGAGTGCACGGTGGATCTCCTGCCAAAGGTCGACCTGGGCACCCACGCGTTGTGGTGGCGTACCGCTGATAAAGTCCCCACAACCGTCAACGACAGTTTGGTTGTCAACGGAAGTGTGAGCGGGCCGTTCTGCCGCGGCGATAAGATGAAGCACGGCCAGAGTCTCGGCTTTCTGGGCGGACTGCGCCAGACCGCGCACCCGAGCAGAGTAGTTGAGACGGTGATCTGAGCCATAGTAACTCCGAAGCCAGCCCTTGCGAGAAGCGGGCGGGCCTGGTGCGAGCTGGCCCCGTCGGTGGCAGCATGCACCCACCAGGCTCAGGCGCCGTTGGTGTAATCCTCGCAGGCGTCGCCGTCGGGGCCCTTCGGCGACGGCCGCGGAATGGGCCGCGGGAGTTCGTCCTCGGCAAGGCTGATGCGGAGATTAAGGAGCTGAGGATCGCCCTCCAGAAGGCCGCAGTGCCTGGCGTGCGGCGGCAGGTCTCGCCATCGTTGCTCGGTGATCATGATTTTCAGAGCAGTCCTGTCGGATTCCCAGCACAGGCATTCCCAGACTGCGTGTTTCTGGTGTTTTTCTTCTTGCTCGCACCCATGTGCGCAGTGGAGGTGGGTCGGCAGCGATGCCGGCCTTGTCTTTTCTCTGCTGAGCGTGGTCACCCCCGCAGAGGTAGTTGCAGAGGTGACCGAGTTGCCAAACGGTACATTTGGCTTTGCCTTTCGCGCGGAGAAGCCACGCGCCGCCAAAGTAGTCTAGACCCTGCTTGACCGCAGCAACAGCACCAAGGTCGCGCATGGCAGTAGGGACGCGCAGCAGGAAGGGCCTCGTGCGGCGCGCGGAGCATTTGCGTGATCAGCCGTGCTGGCAGGCAGATCCATGACAGGGGCGGGCCCCAGTCGTCGCACGTCGTGCCGTAAGTTGGCGAGCCCCATTCGAGATGGGCAATGGTTTGCCGCACTCTACCCAAAAGTCCTCCTCCTTGGAAGGATTGCGCATGCTGGCGCAGCTCTGCGGCTTTGGCGTTGAGACTGGTGTCTCGCCGCACTTGGCTCTCAAGCACGAGAAAAGCTCCCCCTTGCACGACGGCGCCAAGTTCGATGGCACGCCCAGGAACAACGAGAGCGTAGAGGCCGCATCATGAGATCCAGGATCTTTCTTTGGGCCTAATGGCGACAAACGCCGCGCCGATGTATAGGCGTCTAGCTCTCTGGCCGAGCGCTTCGACTTGAGCGCCAGCGGCGCGCATGCTGACAATGAGGGGTCTTACAGATCGATGTCTCGCTCGGGCGCCGTCGGGGGGCCCCCCCACAAGAGGGGGTCTGGCGACAGCCCGTCGTACCCTGGCCTCGGCGGTGGCCTCCAGGTCCAAGTGGGCGTCGTCCGCTACGGGTGCTACGTTGGTGTGGCTCTCGACCAGCTTGACCTGGTGGTGAGCTTGTAGCGGGTACCCGTAAATCTGGAGAGCGGCCCCCCGGCGGTGGAGCTTCTCGCCAACGGCCCATCTGTCCATTTTGCTACGGTGGTCTTTCTGGCCAGACAACCGGTCGAAGAGGACAGTCTCGTCGATTGACATTCAAAGCTCTTTGGCAGCGGGGGCCGCGGAGTTGTTGTCGTCGACAAGCGCGGTGCTCAGTGAGCGAGGCACGTGACGGTGCTGTCGCCTGGCTTACATTCACACGAGGAGTTTGCTGTCGTCAAAAGGTGAAAGAACCACCTTGAAGGTGCCCGCTTGTGTGCTCCATTGGGTTTGGAGCAAGCTTCTCCCATGTTGATGTATCTACGGCGGTTCTCGTAAAAGTGTCGCTTGACTTGAACGATATCGGGCGGACATCCAGCGCGCAACGCTAGGGTGAAGCAGATGTCCTTGACGAGGATATCGAAACACTTTTACCGATCCAACGCGGCCCCAGCCATGGGGATTTCGAGGTGGCGTGCGTTCTCGACTTGAAACGCCGGGGTCGTGCTGACGTCCCTTATCGTGGCGTGTGGTAGCGCACCGAAACTGGCTGGGTTGGTCCAGTGGGATGCCCAAGACCAAGACTGCGGTAGGCTGGTGTTTCCCAGGCATACATCCATATCGACGTGATGCAAGGCAACCGTTGGTCGGCGGGGAGCTCGCACTCTCCTTTCCGAAGACATGGTTTCGGTATGTGCAGAAGAGGCTCAGGAACTTGCCCCGTACGTTGCATCGTCTTCAGCGCGTTGGCGAAGAGGCGGAGGGCTCCGTCAGCAAGCGTTTTAGCTTCTTGGGTGATCCATCCGTCCATGCCCCTGGCCCTGGTAGCGGGACGGGGCCGAATGAAGTAAATAAAAGCCTCGTCGGTCAGGACGAAACGATGGATTGGTGCCGGAGCAGGAAGTTATTCTACCTTGAAATCGCCCCACGTTGAGAAGGTTTCATCCGAGCGGGGCCCCGTGCTTCGATATCTGCCCACGATGGGTTCCCACATGTCCGTCATAAGCTTGAGCGTGGCTCTGGTGTCAGCAAGAGTGGCAGTCTGGTTGATGTGCATCGGAGCAGGGTGCTTGGTGTCACTCTCGCTGTCCGTGACGGAGGCATCATTGGAGTTCGAGTTCGCGTCGGAGGGATGGAGGGAGGAGGGAGGAGCAGGGAGGTATGAAGGAGGGGAGGGAGAGAGGACGAGGGCCGAGGAGGAGGAGGAGGAAGAGGAGGATGAGGTGGAGGAGGAAGAGGTGGAGGAGGAGGAGGAGGAGGAGGACGAGGAGGAGGAAAAGGTATGAGGTGGAGGAGGACGGAAGAGTGGGGGAGGGTGAGAGGGAAGAGAAAAGGGAGGAGAAAAGAGGGGAGGGGAGGGAGGCTCACCCCTCGCCTTCCCTCTCATCCGCCCCCCTCCATCCCCTCGTCCTTTTCCTCCCACGGCCACCCCCCTCTCCCTCTCCCCATCCTCCTCCCCTTCTCCATCCCTCCCGCTAATCCCCAAGATCCCTCCACTCCTGCCCTCCTGCTCCGACCCCAAGTACATAAGAGCATGATGATGATGGTGCTGAGAGGTACCGGCATTATGATGCTTGCCAACCGCCCGAGCCCACTGGCCATTGGCCCCTATCTGCACCCACGCCTTGGTCTGCATGCACATGCTCCGTGACTTGGCCACTCGAGTGAGCAGCGGAGGCCACCTCTGTGACCTGAGCTGCACCTGCAATCGCTGGCTGCCTCTGTAGTCGCAAGCGGCTCCCCTACACGTTTGCCCAGCACACCCTGAAAGAATTAACCGAAAAGTCAGTTCAGCCCAGTGCAGGCCAGAAACTCCAGCTCGGAAAATTCGCCCGCTCAATTTCCTCGTGGCGTTCTTCGGACCCTGGCCCTCCTTACCACCATCAACGACAAGCTCCTCACCTTCTTGGCCGCCTTGCTCCCTGGCGCGTGGTCGACTTGAAACGAAATGCCGAGGGGGGCTCAAGTATTGAGTGGCACAAAACAGCTGAAATATCGCCTCGACTGTCGGCTCGGCTTTCAGCGCGAAGACCCAGCGCACGTGGCCCCCAGAGTTCGGCGGGCCGTGGAAGCGACGGATCGCGCGAAGCCCGCGTCCAGCGGGTGACGCTCCTTTGGCTACTCCTTCTCGGATGAGTTGCGAGCGCCTGCGTCACCCCCGCCTTCCCCAGATCTGGGCGTTGCGTGACGGCGGGCTCCAGCGCGGCCTCCCCCCCCTTTGACACGATCTGGGCAGGGCGCTGCAGAACACTGCGCATCTCATCGCGTCTGACGCGGATGGGCAAGGGGTCGTATTCGGACGACAAAAAGGCTTCCAGTGCAAATGAAGATGGAGTCGCTGCCGCCGGACCCTCTATCTTTTTCCCCTCCCCTGCTTAAAATCGATGTCGAACAGACGGAGCGCGAGCCATCGGTGCACGCAAGGGTTAGGCAGATGCGGCTTTGGGGGCTGCGCTTGCGCTGCCAGAGAAGACCCTCTCAACTACACATGCTGTCCGATATCACGTACCGTACCCTTCACCGTCGAACATTCCTTTTATTACCTCCTCATGTGGGCGATGATCCTCAGAATACCTTCCTGCGCACCTTTTCAACCTCTCTAATCCAGATGCCTGTCCAGCTACGTGGTCGCCCTCGATGCTATCCATCGGGGAACAAACGATGACACAAGCTCAGAAACACGGAGGTCCGCGCGGACTTCTTGGATCGGCTCTGGACCACCCTCCCTGGCGCGCGGCGCCGCCAGGGAGCTCCAGCGCCGATCCACGAAGTCCGCGCGGATCCCCGAGTTTGTATGTTTGTGTCACTGCTTGTTCCCCTAATCTTCTGTGCATTTCACATGTTGCGTAGTTCGCTTGCTTTCTGCACACACGCCTCCCAGGCAGCTGCTGTTCGCACAAAAGGAGTGCCAATCCGCCGCGCGCCCAAGCTGCAGGCCTTGGGCAGATAGTCTTCCTAGAGAGCTTGAACTTGGTTGTACGACCAGGTCCACCCCCGCACATAGGGCTGCCGACGGCTCAATGAAGTCGCATATGCAGATCCAGTTCCTCCGCGTCCCGCCTTATCAGAAGTCTCCTCACTACCAATCCTCCCTCCTTCTCATAGGACGCCTGTTGCATCATCGTTCATCTAGCCCCTAACCTGAAGGGCATGTTGCGATAGCTGCCGTTGCGCGCCTCGGGGTGCAATATATCCTCTTCCTCCTCCTCCTCCTCCTCCTCCTCCTCCTCCTCCTCCGTTGTTGCATCATCATCATCATCATCATCATCATCATCATCATCATCATCATCATCATCATCATCATCATCATCACCATCACCATCACCGTCACCATCACCATCCTCATCATCAGAATCAGCAGCATCATCTCAGCATCACCATCATCATCATCAGAAGCATCAGCATCAGCATCAGCATCATCAAACTCATCATCATCATCATCATCATCATCATCATCAGCATCATCATCATCATAATCACCATCAGCATCAGTATGACCATCGGCATCAGCATCCTATGCATCATCAGCAGCAGCAGCAGCATCAGCAGCATCATCATCAGCAGCAGCATCATATTAATATTATTCATCGTCCGTAGCATCATCAGCAGCAGCATCATCAGCAACAGCATCATCATCGCCATCATCGTCATCAGCATCATCGTCATCATCATCATCAGCATCAGCATCATTAATATATGCTTAGTCATCCTCCTCCTGCTCCTGCTCTTCCTCCTCCCCCTCTCCTCCTCCTCCTCCTCATTCTCCTCCTCCTCATCCTCCTCCTCCTCCTCCTCCTCCTCCTACTCCTCTTCATCCTCCTCCCTATCCTCCTCCCCCTCCTCCTCCTCCTCCTCCTCCGCCTCCTCCTCCTCCTTCTCATTCTTCTCCTCCTCTTCCTACTCCTGCTCCTTCTCCTCCTCCTCCTCCTCCTCCTCCTCCTCCTCCTGGTCCGCCTCGTCGTCATCCCACGTCCCGCGGCCCAAGGTCATGCTGTCGAATTTCCGGGATCCTGGGCGCAGGGCTTAGGCCGCGTGATGGATCGCCATTGTCCTACCTAAGAGGCAGGAGGATGCAGGAGGAGGAGGGGGGGAGGAGGAAGAGGAGAGGAGGAGGGGGAAGAGGAGGAGGAGGAGGAGGAGGAGGAGGAGGAGGAAGAAGAGCAGGAGCAGGCAGAGGAGGAGGAGCAACAGCAGCAGGAGCAGGAGCAGGAGGAGGAGGAGGAGACGCGAGGAGGGAGGAGAAGGAGGTGGCGATGAAGGAGGAGGAGCAGCAGCGGGGGAGCGAGGAGGGAGAAGGCTAAGGAGGAGGGAGGAGGGATCGCCGATCACGACACGGGCCTAAGCTGTCCCTAAAACCCATACGTAGCCATGAGGCGGCCATCAGAGAAGTGTTGGAGATTGGCAGCTTGCAAGAGAAAGCAGGTATTTGCCAAGGATGGCAGGAAGAGGAAGTGAGGAGGGTGAGGGGAGGAGGAGGAGGAGGAGGAGGAGGAAAGGAAGAGGAGGAGCAGCAGGAGAAAAGCGAGGAAGGGGGAGAAGGAAGGGGGAGGGGGGACAAGGAGAAGGGGAAGGAGAAAGGGGAGGGAGGAGGAGGAGGAAGAGAGGGAGTGGGAGAAGGGGAGGATGGGGATGGGGAGGCGGGCAGGGACACGACGGAAAGGTTTACGCGGTTTGTTGAAACGAGCAGATTTCCCCAAAACAGTGTTTGCACTTAGGGTATATCATTTGTCTTCTAAGGAGCTGGGCATGCGGGCCGCTCTTGCCGCCATGTGTCCGCCGTCGCCGCCTCGTCGCCGTCCAGGCCTGCGGGCCGCTCTGGCCGCCATGTGGCCGCCATCGCCGCCTCGTCGCCGCCCTCGTCGCCCGTCGCCTGGGCCTGCGGGCCGCTCTGGTCGCCATGTGACCGCCATCATCGCCTAGTCGCCGCCCGCCGCCGTCGCCGAGGGCCTTGAATTGCGTTGCATTGCCTTTTATTGCTTGGCATTGGTTGACATTGCTTTGCTTTGATTTGTTTGCCTTATTCAACATTGCTTTGCATTGCTTTGTGTTGACTTGCATTGCTTTGCATGACGTTGCATTGCATTGCATTTCATCGCTTTGCATTGCCTGTTGTTGTTGCTTTGCATTGCGTTGCATGGTATTGTTTTGCATTGCTCTGCTTTGCTGTGCATTGCGTTGCATTGTTTTGCATTGTGTTGATCTGCGTTGCATCACATAGAGTGCACCACTTGGACTCCACCACCCAGATTACACCCCATTGATTGCAGCATCTATAGCTTAGGTGGTGTACGATATGCACCGCATATATTGCAAAAAAACACTGTTTGGAGCTCACGCTTGCTAGCACGTCATAACTGCAATTTCAGCAATGCAAAGATGCAAATTTCTTGATGATGAGATGATACGAGAGGGCCATACAAGCTCAAAGTCGGAGACACGATTCGGGAAGCCGGGCACCGACAGTTTGGAGAAGAATATTCAGGTTAGTCTAGTGCTGCTTGATCAAAGCAGCCAAGTCATTCAGGCCAGCGGTGAGAGAGATGGATCTCCGGAATCGTCCGTGGAATCGCGCTCCCAGGGGCACTTGTTCAATTACTGGATTGCGATATGTATGCGTTGCCGGTTGCGCGACACATTCCCTCCTCCTCGTCACACACACCCTCATCCTCAAGGCTTCGTGGTGGTCTCTTGAGGCCGTGGGGGCTCCTTTGCGGCCTCCTGGGGGCTTCTTGGGGGCCGAAGCCTTGATGGCTTCCTTGTTGAGGCTCTGGCCGTGGTCGTGGACGACGACCACGACCACCACGACCACAACGACGGCGACGACCACGACGACGGCGACGACAGCGGCGACGAGCGTGGGCTGCGCCCAGGCAGAAGCAGCCGTGGGGCCCCACGACCGTGGCGCACAGCGTGCCCTTGCGGGTGCCCGCGCGCACGCCTCAGCGCTGCACTGCCAGCCAGTCGCGCCGTCATCGGCGTCGTCATTTTGGCCGTCGTCGTCGGAGGAGGAGGAGGAGGAGGACGACGACGACGACAACGAGTAAGAGGAGAAGGGCGGAGAAGGAGGAGGAGGATGAAGGGTATTAGGATGAGGAGGAGGAGGAGGAGGAGGAAGAGGAGGGAGGAGGAGGAGGAGGAGGAGGAGGAGGAGGAGGAGGAGGAGGAGGAGGAGAGAGGAAGGGGAGGATGGAGGAGGAGGAGGAGGAGGAGGAGGAGGGAGAGGATGAGGTGATGGGGGTGATGGAGGAGGAGGAGAAGGAGGGAGAGAAGAAGGAGAGATAAGAGGCAGCAGCAGGAGAAGGAGGGAGCATGGAGGCAGTTCCCCAAACCGTGCTTGCACTTAGTGGGTTCTCATTTGCGTTACCTGAGGAGACGGATGGGTCCGCCAAGGTTTCGCCTGGTGCATGATTGGTGACCGCCGTGGGCGCCACGTGGGCGCCCAGTCCCTTGGGTGGGTTTGCCAGGGTTTCGCCCGGTGTCCACCCGAGGCGCCCCGTGGGCATTTCCTTGCGCTGGGTAGGTCTGCCAGGGTGTTGCTTGGTACCCGCCCGTGGGCCCCTTGCAAACAAATGCAGAAAGCCCACACGCGCGCGCACATGTCGAAATCATGCCAACACGCAAGCTCTGCAAGCACTTCAAAATAAAAGCATCAAAGCTCGCCGGCTTCCCTCACACTTTTTGCGTGTTCTGCCCGCTCGCATTTGCTGGGACCATAGAAAACCATCTGGGTTCAGCAATCTCGCCCAGACCCTGCATACATCTCACCACGCGGTTCACCCGCGTTGATCTAGCATGCGTCCAGTGCACGACACGGTACTAAACAATGCCATACAGATCAAGCGCGCGCGCCGCCATGCGCGCTTGTCGGAATCCTCACAAAAAACATTGCTTTGCGAAGTATTTCAGGATAGAGTTCTTCGAAAACATATGTAAACAAACTACATGTTTGTCAAGACAAGGTCTTCCAAGTGTCTTAACTGTTCGCGCGCGCGCGCATTTCCTCACCGTCACCCTCATCAGCACCACCGCATCACCGCCGTGTTTGTCATCGAGAATCGTAGCCATTGCCGCCATCATCAGTCAATCACCTTCGTCACCGGCACCTGGACATCATCATCGTCGTCGTAACCAGCATCGGCGCTGTCATTGGCCAGGCCGTCGTCATCGTCATCATCGCTACATCCATCGCTACTGTCATCGGCGTTGCCGCCGTTGTCGGCGTCATCATGATACCACGCCCGCCCGAGCCACCAACCCACTTTGAAGTACCCGCACGCCAGCGCGGCCTTTGAGACGCACTGGGAAGTTCCCATCTGTGAGCGGCATCGCGGCCGCGTCGGCTGTGGGCTGGCCACGCGGCGCGCGAGCCTGAGCAAGCTAGCGCAGCCGCAGAGATGTGCCAGCCAGCGCCAAGGGGTCACCACAATCGCGGCCGCATGGGTTGTGCAAAACAAGTTGTGGATGAGAAGGTGGGATGATTGCGCGAGCATTGAAGTTGACGCCTTCAAGTTCCGCAAGGTGGATTGCACCCCGTAGTTTGCACCACATCAAATTATCCACATAGACGAATCACCACATAGCGCGCGCACCACGCTTATTGCATCGCATAGCTTGAGTCACACAACTCCCACCAGACAGCCTGCATCACATAGCTCACACTCCAAAGCTGGTAGCACATATGTTGCATCACATCGCTTGCATCATATGGCATGGCGTGTACTACGCTTCACCTCATAGCGAGCAACATGGGTTGCACCGTACACAAGATGCTTCGCATAGTTTGTAGCGCAAAAACACATCGAGGGTGGAATAGTCGACTGCTTAGGGGCCCATGCTGGCCCACATGTTCAGGGGGGTTCGGACGCTTTTGGAAATGCCAGTTTGGGAGGGGTTCCTAGACTGTCGGAGGTTTCCCGCGATGGGTGTGAACAAGGAAAAGGAAGCAGGAGGGAGGAAGGAGGAGGAGGAGGAGGAGGGAGAAGAGGAGGACGACGACGAAGACGAGAAGGAGGAGGTCGAAGTGTGGCGGCGTGCGCCCGCGTTCGCCGAGAGCTCTGGCGGCCACTCCAGACTCCAGACCCCCAGGACTGCGAAAGAGGAGGAGAAGGAGCAGCAGGGGGGGGGAGCAGGAGGAGGAGGAGGAAAAAGAAAAAGAAGAAGGCACATGAGAAGCGAGGAAGAGAAGGAGGACGGAAGATGGAGGAGGAGAGGAGGGCAGGGAGGAGGGAGGAGGGAGGAGGGAGTTGAGCAAGCCGGAGCGGGGAGTTTAGCGCAGAAGTGTGGTCTCACATTGATCTTACATCGACCACGACGGCTACCACATGTTCGTCAATTACCACCTGTGCCTAGTGTACTTACGAGCTGCCATCCTCACCTCTGCTCACAAGTTCTTGCACTCTGCGGTATTTTACTTTGCTCCCTCGTTCTCCACTGCTTGGGTCCGCTTCCCTTGTCGGGGTTGGATGAGGATTTGGGTGGCGTTATGGGAATGGACGGTTTGTTTACCTACTTGGCAAGCTCTTGCACAGCGCGCACTCCCACCGTATGCTTCTATATGTCACTTTTCTTTTGCTTCTCACTTGTATACCAAGACGACGAGGTTCGTCCTTTCTTAACACCGAAGAATGTCGGGTCCCGATAACGAGGAGGTTGGTGGTGACCCGGCGGAACCCTGGGGAGCAGCCCAAGAATTGCAACCGGCACGTGTCATTGTGTCTTTTTCTTCTAGGCCACACGTTTCGATAGAGTCAACCTCTCAGTGTAGTTGTTATTCACCAACACGTATACACACAGCTACAGCACAAGCCAGCCATATCAGCAGTCTTCTGTATGGGGATGGGGTGGGGGAGGGCTCGCCGAGGCTAGGTGCCAGGGGGGAGACTCGCACACAGCAGATACCGAGCCCCCTTTTACGACAGGGCGCAGCACCACCAGCTCCGCAGCACTCGCATGCAACGCCAGCACCAGATCCCGTATATAGCAAAGCTCACACCACAGCTTAGGCCAGCCATGCCACATGCGCCAGCCTCAGAAAGTGTTGCGCATCTGCCGCACTGCCGACATCAAGCCAGACAAGCATGAGGACGGGGGGGGAGGCGGGATATGGAGGTTGCAATGGTGGGGCAGGATCTCATGCGCCAGTTTCGTCAACTTCCAACTTTTTTGTGCGCAACATACAACAGGCCAGCCAGCACCTCTTTGCAAGCCGATTAGGGCTAGCAGTTTGCCTCAGCAGATACTGCCAGCTACAGCAGAAGACAACTGCACCAACAGCTCGCTTACCACGCCAGCCTCTTGCACCATGTCTGTTCGCAACTGTCTATTGACAGATGCGGTTAGTTGCCGCTTCAGCACGCCACCCCTTATGCCAGCCATTCGATATGTGCCAGCCTCATCAATACAACAGGCCAGCCAGTCCCGTCTAGGCCAGCATACCAGGATTTAGCTCCAACCTCAGTGGATACCGCCAGCTACAGCATAGGGCGATTACACAAGCAGCTCGCCTATTAGTTCAGCCTCTTCCACCAGCCCACTGATTTTGGGACGGGTGGGAGTCTTTATTTGGGGGAGCTTATTTCCGAATGGGAGAACGACGACCACCACGCTCTTATGCCCCTCACCTCGAGCTTCAGCACTGGAGAGTACGCATCGTACCCCGGCCAGCCAGCACCGCCTGCGCCAAACTCCACCACAGCGCCACTTCAAATGTCAGCGCACAACTATTCTAATGATGGATGCTGTTAGCTACCATTTTGGCAAGTAAGTAAGGGACAAGCCCCCGGGCCTACCCACTGTGAACTACTCACCACAACACCCTTTAGCCTTTACAGCTTTCTAACCGATCACCGCTACCGTCGCTTGCTCTGAATTGCGCTATGCTTTGTGTCACGTTTGTTGTACTTCACGGCGTACCTGGTTCATTTGGGCGGGGGAGGTATTTAATGGGGAGCGGTGGGGATGTGGCGATGTATTTATCCTGCGCCCCTTCTGACTGCGCATAGGCCTGCTACTGTGCATTCGCAGTTCGTCCTCTCCCGTTCGGTGCATGCTTGTTCGTGTACTTGGTATGTATGTCGATTCGGTCCCCCTCTCTACTTCCGACATCGCGTTGCCAGCGTATACTCGAAGCCCCTGGGCCTCTTGTTTAGCCTATCACACTTGTTTAGTCTTTCTATATTATACGCTGGCTTCGCTAAGTCATTGCCACCTGTTCTAAGCCGGCTCGTCACAGCCTTTTCTTGATTCGCTGCACTGCAAGAGCGCTAAAATCCGAGGATTCAAGTTGGCGCGACGTCAAAAAGGAGGAGGAGGGAGAAGAAGAAGAAGAAGAAGAAGGGAGGAGGAGGAGGAAGAAGAAGAAGAAGAAGGCACATGAGAAGCGAGGAAGAGGAAGGGGACGGAAGATGGAGGAGGAGAGGATGGCAAGGAGGGAGGGAGGATGGAGTTGATCAGGCCGCAGCGGGGAGCGCAGTGCCGAAGTGCGGCGGTGGCGATGGCACACGCTGTCTTCGGAGGTTCGTTCTCGCTGCGGTGAAGAAGGACGGTTCCGTGCTGCGCTTCGCCGCCGCGGAGCTGCGGGCCGACCGGGAGCGCCCCTCCCTGCTTTCCGGGTGTGGGGGGGGGAGAAGCAGGAGGAGGAAAAGGAGGGGGAGGGAGAAAGAGGAGGGAGGAAGGAGAAAGGAGGAGGAGGAGGAGGAGGAGGAGGGGAAGGAGGAGAAGGAGGGAGGAAGTAGGAAGCAGGAAGGAGGAAGGAGGAAGGAGGAAAAAGGAGGAGGAGGAGGAAGAGGAGGAGGAGGAGGAGGAGGGAGGAAGGAAGAGGAGAAGAAGAAGAACGGAGGGACCAGGACGGAGGAGGAGGAAGAAGCAGGAGGAGGAGGAGGAGGAGTAGGAGGAGGGAGGGGGACAAGCTAGGTGCGCTCGCGTCATATCTGACGTCCTACCCCTCCCACCCATCCCTTACCATGGCGCTGATTTTCTCTATCCGCGGACGCGTGTCGTAGCGGACCTGTGGCTCCGCGGACTCGTGCGTAGTGTGTGGTGGTGCGCGTGCGTGCGTGCGTGCGTGTGTGCGTGTTGTGGTGTGGTGCTGGTGCTGGTGCTGGTGCTGGTGCTGGTGTGCTGGTGCTGGTGCTGGTGCTGGTGCTGGTGCTGGTGCTGGTGCTGGTGCTGGTGCTGGTGCTGGTGCTGGTGCTGGTGCTGGTGCTGGTGCTGGTGCTGGTGCTGGTGCTGGTGCTGGTGTGGTGGTGGTGGTGGTGGTGGTGGTGCGGCGCGGTGGTGGCGGGCGGATGGGCGCGCGAGAAAGAGGCCCGCGCTGGGGCGAGAACGCCATCCTGAACGACGGAGGCCAAACACCGATCCGAAAATGAGGCCCACGCTGCAGCGGGAGCACGATTCGGAACGATTCGGGAGCAGAAATGAGGCCGGCGCCTCAGCGAGAGCAGCTTTTTTTAAACAAAAAAAAAAAAAAAAAAAAAAACGCAGGCGAAAATCCAACTCCCAGGAATCCTGTGTTTGAAAAAAACAGTACGCTGGGGGGGGTCGGCCACTCCCAGCACGCCATCAGTGGAAGAGGGAGAGTAGTATTCATATTGAGTAATTGTGGAGGAGGGGAGGAGGAGGAGGAGGAGGAGGAGGAGGAGGAGGAGGAGGAGAGGAGGAGGAGGAGGAGGAGGAGGAGGAGGAGGAGGAGAGGAGGAGGAGGAGGAGGAGCGGGAGGAGAGGAGGAGGAGGAGGAGGAGGAGGAGGAGGAGGGAGGGGGGAGGAATAGCTGGAATAGCTGACGAGGGACGACTCGGCCCCGTCTGCTCCAGCCGTCGGACGGCCCCCCGGAGCCGCGGAGAGACCACGAGGGCGGGGGACGGCTGCTCGTTGGGCGGTCACTTCTCGGGCACCTGTAGCGAGGGGAACCGCAGCTGCCACTGCCCGTCGGTCTATTTCGCTGTACCTCCGTCGACCCCGCCGTCTTCGTCGTTCCTCGAGGCCTCCTAAATGGGGTCCGAGTAGATGGGGTCGGAGGGTTGCGCCGCATCGCCGATGCATCGGTGATGCGGCTCGATGTGGGGCCCAATTTTCTCCGCGCCGACGCCGCCGATGCATCGCCGACGTCGCCGTTGCGTCGCCGTTGCATCGCCGATGCGTCGGCGATGTATTGCTGTATCGCCGATGCATCGGCGATGCGGCGCGATCGTCCGACCCCATTTATTCGGACCCCATCCAGGAGGCCTCCAGTTCCCCTCTCCCCCTTGCTCCTCTTTTGCACCACGGTCGAAATTATGATGTACAAATCTCCTCCCGGAAAAAGCCGTGCCAGCCTTTCCGAGCCAGTTTGCTGGAAAGTTGGTCCGGTTTTTCGGGCACGTTGGCGCCTCCTGCGTGAATAGCAGAAATTGGTCCAGGCTTGTGTCAAGAAACTTGTCCGGGAAGCTGGCCCAGATTTCTTGAATGGTCTATTCCGGCCGTCCCCGCTCGAGAGATCGCGACACCTTGCGGGGCAGCATCTTCGGGCGAGCTCCTCGAATGCATAGGTCGTGGGGAGCTCGAGGGCGACGCTCTGCTGGAAGCGCTGCAGGCGGGCTAGGCCCCCGCGCATAGGTGCGGCCGTACTGCCACCCAGTTATTGCGCGCGCAGGCCGCTGGGGACGGCTGTCCAGGGCGGCCAACCGCTCCGGTCCTGACGAGACGGACAGACCAGCGTGCAGCGTCGGCGTCTTGCGGAGGCCAGCTTTCTTTTTTATGTTTGGGGCCCCAGGCAATCGAGGGGACGCCAACATGGATGAAGGCGCGTGGATTAGCGACGGGCCACGTTCCCACACGAAACGGGCGCGCGCCGTTTGCCAAACGAGACGGCACTGGCCTCATGTGTCGGGGGTTACCTCCCCCGGTCCATGGATCTGGCGCCCGCGCGCCAGATCCACGGGTCCCTAGTTCATGTTAGCGTGCGCCCACAAGACAAGTCGTTGGTCGGCCCCAGTGCTATCCAAGAACGACTTGCGGCGCAAAGCCGGCCCCCGATGATGGAGGGGCTCGCGGGAGGCCTCTCGGGAGCTTCTTGGGAACCGTTTTGAGGCCTTTGGGGGTCCTCTTGGGGCCTCCTTGGGGCCTTCTAGGGCCCTCCTGGGGGCCTCCTGGGGGCCTCTTGGCGCTGAAGGCTTGGGTTCTCGGTTCGTGCTCCCCCTCTTTGGCCCTTCTTGGGGTTGTGTTTGGGCCCTCTTGGGCCGTCTTGGGCGCCTCTGGGGCCGTCTTGGATCCTTTTTGGCGCGTGTTTGGGCCCTCCTGGGGGCCTCTTGGGCCGCCGTCTTGGGGCGGTCTTGGGGGCCTCCTGGGCCGTCTTGGAGCGTCGGGAGCTCGAAAAGTCGAAGACCCAAGAATAATTGAAAAACCAATGGGAAAATCAATGATGTTGGCCTCTTGGGAGGGCTCTTAAAAGGCTCTCTTGAGGCGTCTTGGAGGCCTCTTGGGCCGTCTTGGGACCATATTGGGGCGTCTTGGTGCGATCGTTCGGCCACTGGGGGCCCTCTTGGACCGTCTTAGGGGCCTATTGAGGCCCTCTTGGCCCGTCTTGGCCCGAGAAAGTCACGCGAGAAGCCCAAGAAGATTTGACACTTTGGGGTCGGGGCCCTTAATAGACTCCTCAGGAGTGAGGATTGAGGCTTTGAGAATGAAGGAAAGGACCTGACGGCATGCCCACTCCGTGCCCAGAGGCACGGTGGCGGATCTTACAATTGTCCGTTGTGTCCGTCGTAGGAGCGAGGACGAAGGACAAACGAGCAGAACGAGGACCAAGAGCAGCAGCAGCAGCAGCAGCAGCAGCAGGAAGACAGGAAGAGGGAGAGAAGAAAGAGATGCTCATTATGGGTGGCGAGTGAGATGCTGTGTGAATTATTTGGTGTGACCAGTTTGATTGTTTGGCTGCCAGCATGCTTGCCTGCGTAGCTACCCACGCCATCTGCATGCAATGCTAGCAGGCAAGAGAACCCCTGACGGCCTTCTTCGGCCCCTCCAGGGCCAGCAAGATGCCTCGGGGCCCCAGCAGCCGCCGGAAGGGCGAGAACCCTCTTGGCTCGAGGGCGGGCCGAGCTCATACACAGACCTCCGACGATGTGGACTTTTGTTGATGCGCCACCCCAGAAGTCCAGACCCATTCGCGGGGGGGGGGAGTTTTTCGCCCCAGATACGTTTTTGACGGCCCCTGGGCGCGAAAAAGCGGCCCTTGGGGGCCGAGGCGAAAGAAAAGAGCGCCAGGATGTTTGAGCACATCGAGCCGGGCCCTCGGAGGTCTGGGCACGCATGGCTGCCAGAATTGAGGCCAGGGAGCGCCTCCCGCTGGCACGCGACGGCGCCAGCCGCTCGCGCGGGCGCGGCGGATCGCCCCTGCCGGCCCCAGCCGGCAAGCGCCGCAGGCTCTTGCGCGAGCTGCCCCCCTCGGCGGCCAGCCGCGGCGGCGCCGCCGCGGCAGGGGGCGGCGAGGCCCTCGGAGGCAGCGCTGGGGGGAGGGTGGGGCCTCCAGCACCTCTCCGGGGCCCTCGGTGCTCGCCGGGTTTTCGAAGGTGCTCGGAGGTCTCTGGGGCCCGGGGTGGTTTCCGTCGGCTGTGCCTCGTCGAGGGCTTTCGGGGGGTTGCCGGTTGCCGGGATCGCTCCGAACGGCCGCTTTTGAGGCCCGAGCCATGGCCCGAAAGCCAGCAGGCCCGAGGCAGCGATAGGGGGAGATGGGCTCATGGGGGCCTATCGCCGACCTGTCGGCGATGTGTCGCTGGTTCCAGGTCGATGTTTCCCCCTTGTGCCGGTTCCCCTATCGCTGCCCCGCAAGAACGCGTCGCTGGGCACTTATGGGGCCGTCAAGAAACTACTCGGGATGTAAAGCTGGCCTAGGGAAAGGTTCGGGACTCCCAGGGACCCCGCACTGAAGAAACAACACGTCGGACCATTGGGACAGGCAGCAGCTCGTCTGGCAACGGAGCAGCCGCTGGCGGCACGCTTGGTGACCAAAGCGCGGCCACGATGGCCACTGCGAGATCAAAGCCAAGTAAGTTCTACGACGTCGAGGCTGCTGGGCCCGACGATGCAGACGACGATGACGACGGCGTCGATTCGCTGGACATCGACGAGCACGGGAACTTGAAGGGCCTTATCGCAGATACCACTGACTCGAGCGAGGACGGTCGTGACGAGAGCAGGCCAAAAGCGGAGGTTCGAGTGCCACTCGTCAGCATCCGTGGCACGGAGAACCCAATAATGGACCCCGCTGTTGCGGGGCCCCGGCGGCGGCTGCGCAGGATCGTGGACTGCAGCGTAGAAGCTGCTAACAGCGGCGCTGCCAGCCGTGGGGAACCCTCTGCTTGCGTGCCTGACGGGCACGATCCTGCCAGCGACAGCAAGGCTGGCAGCGCAGCAGCCGTTGGTGGCATGCCTGGCGGTGGACACGGCCCTGGCACTCGCGCGACCTTTGGCGAACGGGCAGACGCTGCCAATGGCTCCGCTGCCCAGCACATGGCCGACGGCGGCGCCTCTCGCGCGGGCGCCGCGGCTGCGAGCCAACGGGCCGCTGGAGCGCCAGCGGACGCCAGAGGGCCAGCGTCTGGAGGGGCTGGTGCGGAGGCCCCCGCCGCTCCGGAGCGGACCGCGCCCGCGCTCTCGGCTGCCGCGGGTGCCGCCGGGGCACGGGGCGCCGCGGCAGCCCAAGAGAGCCTGGGCGAGCCAGGCGGTGCCCAGGTTCAGAGTAGGGGATCGACTACAGAATGGAAGGACCCCAACCCGAACTTGATTGCCGCGTCCAAGTTACGAGACAAATATGTAGAATGTTCGTAGCTCTACAGGTCAGTATCTAGGTATTTTCGTAGATTCGACGAACAAATAAATTCTAGGATAAATCAATTCCGCAGCCGATCCCCTACTCGGAGGCTGTGGGCGAGAGCGCCTCCGTACCCGTCGCGTGGGGTGCTCGCGCCAGCGCAGGGGTTTCGTCTGGCATGCGCGCGTGGCGGCAGCTGCTGGAGGTGAGGGCGTCCCTGCAGGATCCGCACCTCGCGATGCTGTGGGCGCAGCTGTCGCTGTCGCGCGGGCAGAGGCAGCTGCTGGAGCAGCAGCAGCTCTGGCTGGACAGCTGTGCTGAACCTGCGCCAGAAGCGCATGAGGGCACACTGCAGTGGCTCCGAGCAGCGCAAGCTCAGACGCTCATGGTGCAGCGCAAGTTGGAGCATCTCGTCGAAATTCAGTTGGACCCGTCGTGGCAGCCACGGCCAGCCCAGCAGCCAGAGCTTTGGCCCTGTGCTCGGCAGCAGCAGCCGCAGCTGCCGTGGCGATGGCAGCCGCATAACCCGAAGCAGCCTCTGCCACTACCAACACAGCAGCCTCAGCATCTGCATCAGGGTCAACCAGTGCAGATTCATACACACGAGATTCAGCAACCGCGGGAATTTCAAGCATCAATGCAGTCGCAGCACCAGCAGCGTGAGGATTGGCAGCAGAAGTATCAGCAGCAGCAGCAAACAGACCACACGTGGCCCGCGCAGTCCGCCGCGCAAAGGCCAGAGCAGGCTCCAGAGCAGCGAACATGGCACGCACAGTGGCAATGGCGGCATGGCGAGCCACAGCAGCCGCCGCGGCCGCTGCTGCAGGTGCATGAGCAGGCACTGCCAGCAACGGCATCGGCTGGAGCACGGCTGCCCACGCTTCCCTCCGGGATATCGACCGCAGTTGCGCCAACCATTCCGCAGGAAACAGTTCCAGCCCCAGCGCTGGCCCCAGCGCCGCAGGGAGGGGTGCCTGGAGAAGGGTTTCACTTGGCGGCTGGCACACCAGGCTTCGCAACGGCCAGCGGCCGGAAAGTCGCGCTCGACCCGGCGAGGCTTCGGGCCGCACAGGCGTTGCTGGCGGCCGATGGCACTGAAGAAGACCACGCCACTTCAATTGCACGCTCAGGAGCAGGTACCACAACGGTGCCTGGCATGGGGGCTGCGGCTGGGACGCCCACGGCGTCCGCCGCAGTGTGGCAGGGGCAGATTGGCCAGCCCCAGCAGCCGCCACGGCCGCTGTTGCAGGTGCATGAGCAGGCACGGCCAGCAACGGCATCGGCTGGAGCGCGGCTTGCCGCGCTCCCCTCCGTGGCATCGACCACAGCTGTGCCAACCATTCCGCAGGAAACAGTTCCAGCCCCAGCGCTGGCCCCAGCGCCGCAGGGAGGGGTGCCTGGAGAAGGGTTTCACTTGGCGACTGGCACACCAGGCTTCGCAACGGCCAGCGGCCAGAAAGTCGCGCTCGACCCGGCGAGGCTTCGGGCCGCGCAGGCGTTGTTGGCGGCCGATGGCACTGAAGAAGACCACGCCACTACAATTGCACGCTCAGGAGCAGGTACCACAACGGTGCCTGGCATGGGGGCTGCGGCTGGGACGCGCACAGCGTCCAGGGCAGTGTGGCAGGGGCAGATTGGCCAGCCCCAGCAGCCGCCACGGCCGCTCTTGCAGGTGCATGAGCAGGCACGGCCAGCAACGGCATCGGCTGGAGCGCGGCTTGCCGCGCTCCCCTCCGTGGCATCGACCACAGCTGTACCAACCACTCCGCAGGAAACAGTTCCAGCCCCAGCGCTGGCCCCAGCGCCGCAGGGAGGGGTGCCTGGAGAAGGGTTTCACTTGGCGGCTGGCACACCAGGCTTCGCAACGGCCAGCGGCCGGAAAGTCGCGCTCGACCCAGCGAGGCTTCGGGCCGCGCAGACGTTGCTGGCGGCCGATGGCACTGAAGAAGACCACGCCACTACAATTGCACGCTCAGGAGCAGGTACCACAACGGTGCCTTGCAGGGGGGCTGTGGCTGGGACGCCCGCAGCGTCCGCCGCAGTGTGGCAGGGGCAGATTGGCCAGCCCCAGCAGCCGCCACGGCCGCTGTTGCAGGTGCATGAGCAGGCACGGCCAGCAACGGCATCGGCTGGATCGCGGCTTGCCGCGCTCCCCTCCGTGGCATCGACCCCAGTTGTGCCAACCACTCCGCAGGAAACGGTTCCAGCCCCAGCGCTGGCCCCAGCGCCGCAGGGAGGGGTGCCTGGAGAAGGGTTTCACTTGGCGGCTGGCACACCAGGGTTCGCAACGGCCAGCGGCCGGAAAGTCGTGCTCGACCCGGCGAGGCTTCGGGCCGCGCAGGCGTTGCTGGCGGCCGATGGCACTGAAGAAGACCACGCCACTTCAATGGCGAGCGCAGCGGTGGGTACCACAACGGTGCCTGGCATGGGGGCTGCGGCTGGGGCGCCAGGAGGGTGCGCCGCAGGCATGGCTTCCTGCACGGCAACGGCAGGGTGGCCAGGCGCACCAGAGCCAAGACTACAAGGCTGTACGGTGGCCAGCGGCTTCGCGACTGCAGACGGACGAGGCCTGCATCTCGACGCCGCGAAGCTGCAGGCTGCACAGGCCCTGTTGGCCGACGCCGAGGGGCCCGTAGCCACGGCAGCGTCAGCTGCAACAGCGCCGCAATTGGCGACGGTGCCAGCAGCCACCCTGGCCGCACCGCCAGTTGTGACCGAGGAAGCGACCGCGGCCACGACCAGGGCGAGCTCCGCGCCGCGCGCCGATGCAGGCGCCGCCCCGAGCAGCGGCGACGGCGACCAGGCGGAGCCAGCCGCAGTCGGGGCGGCGGCCTCCTTGCGCACGGCAGCGGGCAGGCCGGTGGAACTGGGCACCACCGCGCTGAGACGGGCGCAGCTGCTGCTGGCGGAGAAGGGCGACGAGGACATTCCTGGAAGTTGCGCCGACGGGGCTGCTGGAGGCGTCGCCGCACTGGCGGCCCAGGGCGTGCCGTTCCCGCCTGCCGGTGAGGGCCGGTTCGGAGGCGCCGTGCTGCCCTCCGAGATGATCTCCGACATGCAGCGCTGCGGGCGGGCCGAAGGCGACCAGGGCTCCCTGGATGGCGCAGTGCGGAAGAGAGCCGCGGCGGCACGCCAGGCCATGGGGGATCTGCTCGAGGAGCTCAACGCTGACAGCTGCGTCCTGGAGAGCCCGCACCAGCCGGACGCGCGAGCCGCTGCGGGCGCCAGCAATCTCAGCAATCGGCCGGTCGCACAGCTTGTGAGCACGCGAGATGCGGTGTTCGCCCAGTTTCGGCGAGCGGTCGAGGCGTCGCCAGAAGCTCCCGCTCCCGAAGCGGCCGAGGGCGGCCTCGCGCGCTTCGGGCGCGCATGGCTGGAGCACCACTGGCGGCAGCTGGCCCTGGTCGCCGCGCTGGCAGCGCAGCGGGAGCAGCCGCGCACACCGGCCAGTCGCGAGTCCATCGTCACAGAGCTCGTTCGGAGGTGCAGGAGAGAGCTCGCGGGCCGATGCTCCGCCCTTCACCGCGCCTGTGTCGCCGGAGGCGGCGGCCTGGGCTCCCTGCACCTGGTGCTCCTGTGCGCGTCGGTTGCGCCCGCGTCGGCGGGGGCTCCTGCACGCGCCGAGCTCAGCGACGGGTTCTACTCTGTCTCCGTGGAGCTGGACGCCCGGTCCCAGATCCGTGCGGGGCGCACCGTCCACGTCTGCGGCGGCACCGTCGAGGGCCTGCCCGAGTGCGGCTGCCACCCCCTCGAGCAGCCGGCGGCCGCCTGCCTGCGGGTACCGCCGAACGCCTGGCGGCCCGCGTCGAGCGGCTGCCGCCTCGGGCCGCAGCGCCGCCCCTTCCCCGCCGCCCGCCTGGCAGACGTGCGCCCGGGCGGCGGCGACGTGCCGCTCGTGGACGTCGTCGTGCTCCGCGTGCTGCCCTGCACGTACCGCTCCTTCGGGGTGCGCGGCGGCACCGCGGCGGCCGAGCGGACCAGCTCGCAGGAGCTGGCGCACTGCGAGGCGCTGGCGGCAGGGGCCCTGAGCGGCGCCGAGGCGGCGGTGCGCGAGCTCGCTGGCGCGGGCGCCGACGAGGCGGCGCAGGTGGCGCTGGCGGAGCGGCTGCGGGCCGAGGCGCAGGTCGGTCGGAGGGGCCTGGCGGGCAGAGAGACGGGCACTGGGCGGGAGCAGCAGCGAGCAGCGAGGTGTCCGCGGCTCGGTCCAGGCGCTTCGCTCGAAGAGGAAGCGACGGCATGGGAACCAGTCAAGGGAGGGAAAGCCACCCAGACCCCGACAATTGGCGTGTACTAAACGGCCTCGGGCCCTGCTCGGCTTCGTTGGGTGCGTTTACTGAACGGCTTCGCTTGTCGGGGTGCGTGTTATGAGGGTGGTTTTCTGGTTTCTGATTAAACTGCCGTAGCTCGGCGCGGATTTCTTGGGTCGGCGCCTGGGCTCCCCTGGCGGCGCCTCTGGCGCCGCCCCTGGCGCGCTCCGCGCGCCAGGGAGGGAGTCCAGGCGCCGATCCAATAAAACCGCCCGGAGCTCCCAAAATTTATGTGCATGCCGATTGTCGTTCCCACTCGCGGTCGGTTGCATTCGGTCGGCTCGCTTCGGTTAGGTCGGTCGTTATGTCGCCGTTGCCTCACTGCGCCCTGCTGGGCTGCTTGCGGCCTGTCGGTTTCGGTCGGTCTCGGTGTCGTCGTCGGCATGGGTCGGTTTTCCATTGTCTCGTCGCCGTGGATGGCCTTGAGAACAGGAGGGGCCTCCCAAGACACACCAGGTGTCTTGGGTGTCTCGCTGCGGACCCCTGGACCCACAGCAGGTCGATCCAATTCGTTAGATCACATGTGACGATGGAATCGGGAGGTCTGTTCTCTTTTGCTAGCCTCCGCGAGGAAGTGGAGTGGATCCAGGGGGTCGAGGATGTTGGATCAGGTTTGGGGGGGTGTTGGCTCGAGCTGCTGGGGGTGGCGTCCACTCTGGCTTCCGTGGTGCGCACCTTTTGGAGTGGGGGCCATGTCAGCGCCCGCTGAGGCCATTTTGGGCTTTTCAGGCCGTCTTGGGCCATCGTGGGCGGTCAGAGGAGGAGGACGAGGACGAGGACGACGAGGAGGAGGAGGAGGAGGAGGAGGAGGAGGAGGAGGAGGAGGAGGAGAGTGCGAACCACACTGGAGCCATCTGTGGCCAGCTGGAGGGCTCTCGGCAACTCCAGTGTCATGTGCGACCAGGTCCCCAGGAGGGAAGGGAGCAGGCCCCAGCATCCCACAAGGCAGCCTCCACGTCCCATCAGTATGTGCCGCGGACCATCTCATCCTCGGCTTGGAGCTCTGTCCCCTGCCCGGTCACCGATGCCGACGTGCGTGTTGTGTGTTTCGCTTGCTTGCTGCTGGATGTTCGTGCGCTCTCGGACCAGGCCAGCATCAGACAACACTCCGAGCTGGATTGGGCAACTCCGCTACTCCAGACTCGGCGGCGTCGAGGGGGGAAGTGAGAGGGGGCTGGCCTTCTTAGAAGGCGGCGAGGCGCTCCAGCCTTCCGAGAAGCCCTCTGTGGTTTCGAAGACGGCTAAGAGAGTTTCTCAGAAGGCCTTCTGAGAAGGCCCACCCCTATGCCTTCCCGCCAGGGCGCGCCGCGGACGGACAGAGGGCGGAAGCGGCCGGGGTGACTGGAGGGAAAGGAGGGCGCCGTGAGGCCTCTTGGAGCCCGCTCGGGGCCCTCCTGGAGCACTCCTTTGCGCCGGGGGCCCCCGGGAGGCGGGGGGGGGGCGCGAGGACAGGAGGCGAGGGGGCGGGGGGCACTATCCTCCCTTCTCTTCCCCTTCCTCTTCGCTCGCTCGCTTGCTCGCAGCCTGAGGTCGATCGAGATAATCTCAACCCGTTCCAAGGGAGACAAGCGAAAAAAACTAGTTCGATGCATTCAACGCAGCAAAAGGGAGCGAATTCGATTCCCATCCTCCTCCTCCTCCTCCTCCTCCTCCTCCTCCTCCTCCTCCTCGTCCTCCTCCTTCTCCTCCTCCTCTTCCCCTCCTCCTCCTCCTCCTCCTCCTCTTCCTCCTCTTCCTCCTCCTCCTCCTCCTCCTTCTCCTCCCCTCGGAAATGAAGGCCCGAAGGAGTCTGCGTCCAACGACTGCGCACAAAGAATGGCACGAATTCAGAATTCAACACATGCGCTCGCATGCCAGTGGAGGGCGAATTGCGTTGAGCTCGTCTTCCAGGGTGAGCCTCGATCTGTCTGTCTGTGTTGAGCTTGTCTTCTGGGTTGAGCCACGTCCATGTCTCGATGATCTTTGGAATTCCTAAAATTGGTTGGGTCGGGGTCCCAAGAGACTGCAGAGAAGGTCCAGAAGGGGCCCAAGCTTAGCTAGAGTCAACACACGAGCTCGCACGCCAGTCGATTGTGTGCCTGCGTAGTTCGCGTTGTAATAATAGCCAGGCGCCTTCGGGAGACAGGAGCACTACACCGCATCATCACCAGAGGATTTGTTACCCAAAACCTGCGGCACCAGGAGGGCGGAGGAACCATGTAGCAGAAGGGTTCCTGAACACCTGATGATCCATTAGCAGTCATGGCCGCTGGCCCGCGTAGGCCGCGTAATCGTCCTCTTCTTTCGCCCTTCATGCCTCCCCCCTCCTCTTCCGCATCCTCCTTCTCCTTTCCCTCATGTGCTCCTCCTCATCAGGGAAAGGAGACGAGTCAGGAGAGAGCTCCCCGAGAGGGTGCCAGAGGGGCCCACATTTAACACATGTTAGAACACATGGTCGCATGCCAGTGGAAGATGTTCAGAATCTGATCCGGTACATATTCACTACAAGTCACCGTCTAGTGGCATGCGAGCTCGTGCTGGATGTAGGGCAAGTTCGGGCCCCTCCTGGAGTGCTCCCGGAGCCCTGTTCTTACTCTCCGCCAGTTTTCTCTCTAGGCCTCCTGGATGGGGTCCGAGTAGATGGCGTCGGGGGATCACGCCGAACCGCCGATGCATCGGCGATGCGGTGCGATGCGGAGCCCGATTATCTCCACGCCGTCGTTGCCGATGCATCGCCGACGTCGCCGATGCATCGCCGATGCATCGGCGATGTCTCGGCGATGTGGCGCGATCCTCCGACCCCATCAACTCGGACCCCATTTGAGAGGCCTCTATCCTCGGAGCAGCACGTTGCCCAAAGGGTGCGGGAGACAGTGCCCCCTTGCGGGAGACAGGACAGCACCCCCCGCAGACAGGCCCGCGTGGCTGCGGAGGCGGGCTCGCCGCACCTGCCGGTGCTGGTGGTGGACGCGCAGGCGGTGGCGGGGCCCTCGCCCAGCTGGTGGGGCTCCGTGGCGGTGCTCACGCTGCGGGGCGCCTCCGAAGAGGCGAGCGACGAAAGATCGAGGGTTGCTAGAAATTCCCCTGGCCCAGGATGCCCCCAGCTTTTCGCCCGCAAGCTGCCCATCCCTCGTGCCGTGCCGACTTTGGACTTGGCTTCTGACTCTGTGGGGGGCCCTCAACCTTGCGCGAACGGCCGCTCTCGAGACGTTGGACACAAAGCGAAGCTGCCGCACACGCGCCCTGGGGGGCAGCCAGCCGCGACGACGCGCGCGCCTTGCCCGACCTCGCCAGCCCCCACCCCCTCGGGTGCTGCTAAAGTGGCCCCTGGCCCAGGGTGCCCCCAGCTTTTCGCTTCATTCTGGAGCCCCCTGGACCCTTTGGGCCTCGTTGGGGGTGCTTTGGGCGCCGTGGGGGCCTCCCCGGAAATCCTGGGGGCACCTTGGGCCAGGGGCACTTCTAGCAACACCCGAAGAGAAAACGGAGTCGACTGCGCCGACACTGGCGCGCCAGCTGCACGAGTAAGACCGCGCGCGAGCGCCCTAGGTTCCAGTGGTGGCCCGCCGCGCTGGCGGCTCGCACAAGCTGCGGCGCAAGGTCGCCATGCCACCGGCCCGTGTCTTTTCCCCGCCCAGGTGGGCCCCGCGCCGCTGGACCGGCTACGCGTGACCAGCGCGGGCGTGGCCAGGAGTGGCGCCGGCGGCCTGCTGAGGCTCTTCTGCGGCCCAGCGTCGCGGATGCAGCACAGGCCCCGCGCCCGCAGCTCCGCTGCGCCCCCAGGCCTCCCGCTGGCCGCCTTCCTGGGCGGGCCCTTCGGCGCCAGCGGCGGCCCGCCGGCCCTGGGCGCGGGCGGCGACCCGCCGCCGCCCAGGGAGCTGCGCGGCCTCTTCTGCGACCTGGCCGGCGCGCCGCTGCGCGGCGGCGCCGCGGAGGCGACAGGGGCAACGATAGGAGGGGGATTAGGGGATTAGCAGAAGGGGGGATGCATCGACCCCCAATCGCCCATTGATCGCCGATAGGGACCCGGTAGCCCCAACTTGCCCAGGAAGGTGCGGATTCACGATCGGAGGCCTGTCGCCGATGTATTGGCGATGTGTCGCCGATTCCAGGTCGATGCATCCCCCCCTGTGCCAGTCCCCCCCTATCGTTGCCCCTCAAGGCGGGGGCATGCAGGGGCGGCGGCTGGCGTGCGTTCCTGCCGCTCTGGCTGCTGGCGCCGGGCGGGCGCCTGTGCCGCGTCCTCGTGGAGGAGTGGGCCGAGGACGCCGCCAGGGCGCGGGGCGCGCTGGGGCGCGCCGCCGCGGCGTTCGGCGCCGCATGCGCGGACGAGGCTGCGCTCCTGGTCCAGAACGTGACGTTTGCATGGCGCTCGGGGCCCCAGAAGCCATCGGGGGTGGACAGAACCTCCACCCAGACACGTCGACTAGTGAATTGACCGTTTTCAGTTCTCGAGAGGGCGCCGCGGCCGTCATTTTCCAGGCTTGTGCCCGCCAGGTTTGGGCCCAAGGTCGTTTTCACTAAACCACTTTTACTAAAGGGGTTTCTGTCCATCCCCGAAGCCAGAACAGCTCGAAGACGGGGAAGCTTCATACACAGGAGCTTTCGGAGCTCCTCGCGGAGTGCTTGGATCGGCGCTGGGGGCCCCCATAGCGGCGCCTCTGGCACCGCCCCTGGCGCGCTCGGCAGGCCAGGGAGGGGGGTCCAGCGCCGATCCAAGAAATCCGCGCCGATCTCCAAAAATTTCATCACGAAGCGTCGGGGCGCACGTAACGCAGGTCAGCGCTAAGGTCGGTCAGCCAATCCCCTCCGAGATCCCCTGGCTGACCCGGGTTTGGGAGCCACCTGGAACCGACCCCGCTCCCGCGCCTTCGGCTGACGCAGATTTGGGAAGTACGTCGTGGCCGGCACACCGAGATCCCCCGATCGCTGAAGTCGTTGCGATGGCAGCGGCTTGCGCGCTTGGGCTTGGCCCCACCGCGCCTACCTGAAGCTGCACACCAAATGCCACTCTTGCCCAGGGCCACCCCTGTGTGTAGCTGACGAGAGCGAGGAAAACGACGAAGAGAGCGTAGTGTTTCGATCCACGGCTGCAGTTCTCTCTGGTGCGCCAGCATCCTGGTTTGTCAAGCTCCCCGTTCGCGGGGCCCTGGAGGTACGACCCGCAGCGGCAGGTTGTGAATTTCCGGGCGCGCCGGCTGCACCTCCGCCTCGCGCGCAACCCCACGTCGTTGGACGCGCAGAGGGCGATGGGGTCGCTCTGCTTCTCGGCTGGGGAGCTCGAGAGGCGACGGGGCACGCCCACTGTCGGGGGGGGCTCGATGTATTCACCACGGCGCTCGGGCGGCCGCCTCGCCACCCACTTTGGCGAAGGAGTTCGGCGTATAGACGCTCCAGCATCCCATGGGTTGGGGAGCTGGGGCGTCTGTACACCCGGTTCCTTGGCCGACCCGACGACGTGGTTTTTCAGAGTAGGGGGGCCGAACGGTCATTCACTGTCCCTGGGCGCGTAGCTGAAGTGAGGTTCTGCGGTGCTGATTGTTGTTGCGTTGTTTGTTGCTCGTTGTTTTTGTTTGTTGTTTGTTGTCGTCGTCCCACCCGCGACCCGGCCCGCGACCCACCCGCGACCCACCCGCGACCCACCCGCGACCCATTCCGCGACCCACCCGCGACCCACCAGCAACCCACTTGCGACCCACCCCGCGACCCACCCGCGACCCACCTGCGACCCACCCCGCGACCGCCCGCGACCCACCCACATTGCATTGACAGAAAAATCGACGCCTTCTGCGGGCTCGTGGTATCATGTGCGGAAATAGTGCGCTTGCGGCGGGCTTCTTCAGAGCATCGCAGACTGCCGACGTCCCCGCCGCCCCCTCACTCTTATCAGCAACTGCGGGGTGCTTCGTATTTCGAGACCCTCCCAAACCGCCCACCTGTGCCGATGCTGCCAGGAACGGACACCAGGAAATTGAAAACAGGAACTGGATCACGGAGAACGAGCACAAGAAAGCGAAGACCAGAAAGCGGAAAACGCAGACTGGAAACAAGAATTGGAAGACGAGAGCCATAAAACCGGAAGCCAGCAAACCGGTAAGCTTAAAGCATGCGTGTATCGATCCGCTCAAGAGCGGATCGATATAGCCTGCAGCTTTTGCCTTGCCCCTGGGTGTGGGCGCGACGCCGCTCCACACTGCCAGGACGCCTCAGCAACGGCTGGCCGCACCAGCCACTCCTGCCGAAGATCTTCGTGCAGTGAGTTGTCCTGCCCCCTTTTGTGCTGCCAGACAAGTGGTATGCTTCGCCCCAGCTACTCGAGCGCGAGCGGATTGCCTTTGCCGCGCCGCGACGAAAAAACGTGTCGATCCGCTCGAGAGCGCTCCGTCTTCCGATGCCGTGCTGGGCCAGCCCGCCCGTTGACCCGAGCCATCTGCTGATCCGGTCTGGCGCCCAAGGTTCTGGCCCAGCCAGGGTCGGCGGAGGTGGGTATCCAAGTCTTCCACGTCTTTGCATAGTGTTGCAAAGCGTGGCCCGGGGAGTTCGCGGCCGCTTCCACCAAGGGCGGCGGCGGGCTCATCAGGAACACGAGTCAGAGTTCGTCGGGGACTGTAAACAAAAATTAGCTCTAGCTCCTCGAGTGCGCACGATGCAATGCTTGGCATGTGGGGGGGGGGGCTCATTCGCTCGTCGGTGCACAGAACAGAACGGATAAATCGCTGTGGCTAGAAGCGGCTGGAACTGCTCAAGACATTGGGGCTACCATCGAATTGTTGGCAGGCGCCCTCACGGGAGGAAAGACCACCCCGACCCCCATAACTTGCGTTTCCTGAACGGCTCTGGGCGCTTGCTGAGCAGAGCCCGGGGATCCCTGCCTTGGGTACATTTGCTAAACGGTTTCGCTTGCCGGGGTGATTATTCAATCGCTTCGCTAATTCCGCCGGCCCATGTCGCCTCATCTCTGCTGTTTGCCCGGCGTTGGTGGGGTTTTCTCGGCAGGCGTTTCGGGAGTCTCTTGGAGGCAGTCTTGAAGCCTCTTGAGGTCTCTTGGGGGCTGTTTTGGGGGCCCAGGGAGTTTGTTTTGGGGCATCCCGGGGGCTTCTTGGGGCCGTTCGAGGAGGGAGGAGAAAGGGGGGAGGATGGAGGAGGGAGGAGGGAGGACGAGGAGGAGAAGGAGGAGGAGAAGGAGGAGAAGGATGATCGCTGGCTGGTTGAGTGCTCGGGGGGCGTTTGGGGTGCCTCCTGAGGGCGCTTGGGGGCCTCTAGGGGGCCTCTTGGGGACTTCCTGAGGACGTCTTGGGGGCCTCTCGGGGCCTCTTGGGGGTCTCTTGGGGCTTCCTGGGGGCCTCTGAGGGCCGAGAGTTCGAGATTTTGTTTCGTGTTCCCTTTCTGGGGCCCCTCTTGAGGCATTCTTGGGACCCTCTTGGGCCGTCTTGGGGGCTTCTTGGGCCGTCTTGGAGCCGTCTTGAGCCGTCTTTGGCCGTCGTGGGGCCCTCTTGGGGGCCTCTTGGGCCCTCTCGGGGCGATCTTAGGAGCCTCTTGAGCCGTCTAGGGGCGTCGGGAAGCCGAAAAGGTGGAAACGCCCAAATCTGTCCAAAACCTAAGGGAAAGCAATGAATGTTGCTTCTGTGGGTTCTCTTGGGAGTGCTCCTGGAGGCCTCTAGGGGCATCTTGGAGGCCTCTAGGGCCATATTGGAGGCCTCTTGGGCCGTCTGGATGCCAGCGTGGGCGTCGTGGAGCGATCTTCGGGCGTCTCGGGCCTCTCTTGGACCGTGTTGGGTGCCTCTTGGGGCCCTCTTGAGCGATCCTAAAAGCCCTGGGAGAGTCTCCCGGGCCGCGCCCGGGGTACTTTTGGTCCGGGGACCCCCAGGGGCCGCCCCGCGCGCGCGAAGTAGAAATATTGTATAGATGTTACCGGAGATCTTAGCACGCCTCTGGCCCGTTGGGCCGGCGAATTACGAGGGGGGGCGGTCCTGCTCTCTGCTCCCTTGGGTCACCCGCGGGGGCGCGAAGACAATCGCGCGTCTCGCGTTGCGGTCTGGGCCAGAGCGGCTGCCCTTGTCCTAGGGGGAAGCGTGAGGGCCAGAGGGCCAGAAGAGCATCGCGCGGCGCGAGGCGCGAGGTTGGGTGCTCCAGTTCCCTGGGGCAGCGTTTTCGCCCCCCGCCGTTGTTCTGATGGCCCTGGGGCTGTGACGCGGCCCCCCTTTGGAGCCTGAGACAGACGGCTGGCGCTGCAAGAACCAGGAGGGGAAAAAAGACACAGACACGAATTAACGTCGATGCCCCAGAAAATGCGGGAAGCTTTGGAAATGGAGGGGAAAACGAACATCAAAAAAGCATTGAACAACCTTGGGGATCCTGGAGTCTGTGCCTGTTTATCTGTGTCTCCCTGGGCCCCTTTTTAGACAAAAGCTACGGACGGCGTCGGTGGCGTCCTACCGAGGTGGCGGGCGCTGCTGGAGTCGGGCTTCCCCGCGTGAGCTCGGGGGGAGGGGGCGCCCGGCCCCGCGCCAGGGAGGCGCGCTGCCCGCACGCGCTGCAACGGCGACGTCGGCACCGGCCTGCTTCGTCCCCCGCCCCCTCGGAGCACGACGACGACGACGACGCCTTCCCTCCTCGTCCTCAAGCCCCTCCTCCTCCTCGGAGGAGGAGGAGAACCACAACGATGACGAGCAGGGATGAGGAGGAGAAGAGGAAAGAGGAGGAGCCAGCTTCGCTGCGGATGAGAAGTAGGAGGAGGAAGAGGGCGTGGAGGACGATGAGGCGGAGGTGGGAGGAAGACGACGATGAAGAGGAGCAGGGGTAGGACGATGTCAGTCTGAAGAGACGTCCCAGCCCTCCTCCCCATCATTGCCATCATCATCATCATCCTCATCATCATCATCATCATCATCATCATCATCATCATCATCATCATCATCATCATGGTCATCGTCATCATCATCGTCATCATCATCGTCATCATCATCATCATCATCATCATCATCATCATCATCGTCAACGTCATCGTCGTCGGCGAGGAGTTGGTGGCCAGGGGAACTCCTCGTACGATTCATTCCCCTTGTATGAATCATTCTCATCCTCGTCATCCTCCTTTCCCTGGCCGCCAGGCCTCATCCCTATCTGAATCATAGGCCTAATCATCGCGCCCCCTACAAGTGCAGTGTGCGTCATCATCACGTTGTTTCCCTTCCATCATCCATCCACCTACCCCTTCTCCACCCATCACTCTCATCCTCATCCTCCCTTTCTCCTCCCCCTTGCCCCGCTCCTCCACTACTCCCTGCCTCCTTCATCCTCTGCACGCATCATCCCTCCTCATCCCTCCCCCCTAACTTGTTCCACATCATCATCACCATCATCAGCAGCAGCATCATCATTCTCGACCCTTCTGCTCTCCGTGTCCCTCCCCCTCCTCCTGACCATCTTCGTCCTCCTCTTCCGCCTCTCCCATCTCCCCTCTTCGCTCGTCACCTCTCATCCTCATCATCGTCATCATCATCCTTACCATTCGCCTCCTCGTTCCCCGTTATCCGCCTTCCCACCCCGCCATAAGTTTCCACCCTCTTCATCTACATCACCATCACCACAATCATCAGCAGCAGCGTCATCATCAGCATCATCAATATTAGCAGCAGCAGCAGCAGCATCTGCATCAGCATCAGCGTCGTCGTCGTCAGTATCGCCAGCATCATCATCAGCAGCATCATCAGCAGCATCATCACTACCATCATTATCATCGTCGCCACCATCGTCATCACCACCGTCATCATCACCATCAGCATCGTCACCACCATCACCATCATCACCGCCAACATCACCAACAACATCGTTGTCATCAACACCAGCATCAGCGTCCTCGTCGTGGTCAGCATCGTCAGCATCATCATCACCATCATCACCACCGTCATCATCACCATCATCACCACCATCAGCATCATCATCATCGCCACCACCATCAACCTCATCATTAGCATCAGCATCAGCGTCGTCGTCGTCAGCATCGCCAGCACCCTCATCATCACCACCATCATCACCACCATCGTCATCGTCATCATCAGAAACATCATCCTCGTACTCACTATCATCATCATCAGAGGGCGGGGGATTGTGGGGTGGAGGTTTTCGGAAGATCACTTCTCAAAAATCACACTCTCGCATCGATACCGCGCGCATGTTTCAAAAGCGGCATTCTCGCCTCGACGCCGCGCACATTTCTTCTATGGCAGACCAGCTTGTTCTACTCCCTTCCCTTGCCCTTTTCATCCATATTGCGTTTCGCTTCGCCCCCTCCCCACGGTTTCTTGCCCTCGCGTGCAGGGCGCCATTGAAGGGCGCCGCATGGCTGTGCGAGATGTTGCCGGGGTCTGGGAGCATCCAGAGGTCCACAGACCAGAGGTTTGGGAGCATCCAGGGGTCCACAGAGGTCTTGGAGCAACCAGAGGTCCACAGAGGCCTGGGAGCAACCAGAAGGGTCCACGGGTCTGGGAGGGAGTCTCTCCTGCGAAGAGCGAGGGTCTTGCCTCCCCCCACCTCCTGCTCATCCCCTCCCCCTCCCTCCCCCCCCAGAACCACCACAGGAACCACAGCAGGAACCACAACAGACACAACGAGAACCACAACGAGAACCAAAAAGGGGAACCACAACAGGAACCACAACAGGAACCACAACGGGAACCACAACGGGAAGCACAAAGGGGAACCACAACGGAACCACAAAGGGGAACCACAACGGGAACCACAACGGGAACCACAGGGGAACCACAACGGAACCACAAAGTGGAACCACGATTGATACCACAACGGGAACCACGACGAGAACCACAAAGGGAAATCACATCGGGAACCACAAAAAGGAACAACAAAGGGGCCACAACAAGAACCGCAACGGGAACCACAACAATAACCACAACGGGCACCACAACAAGAACCATAGAAGGGAGCCACAACGATCACCACCACGGGAACCACAACGGGGAACACAACGGCGAACCATAACGGGAATCACAACGGGAACCACAATGAGAACCACAATGGGAACCACAAAGGGGAACCACAGAGGGGAACCACAACGGGAACCACAAAGGGAAACCACAACGGGAACCACAGAGGGGAACCACAACGGGAACCACAACAGGAACCACAACGGGAACCACAACGGGAACCACAACGAGAACCGCAACGGGAACCGCAAAGGGGAACCACAACGGGAACCACAACAGGAACCACAAAAAGGGAACCACAACGAGAACCACAACGAGAACCACAACGGGAACCACAACAGGAACATCAACAGGAACCACACAGGGGAACCACAATGGGAATTACAACGGGAACCACAACGGGAACCACAAAGGGGAACCACAACGGGAACCACAACGGGAACCACGACGGGAACCACAAAGGGGAACCACAACGGGAACCACAACAGGAACCACAAAGGGAAACCACAACGAAAACCACAACAGGAACCACAACGGGAACCACAACGGGAACCACAACGAGAACCGCAACGGGAACCACAAAGGGGAACCACAACGGGAACCACAACAGGAACCACAAAAAGGGAACCACAACGAGAACCACAACGGGAACCACAACAGGAACATCAACAGGAACCACAAAGGGGAACCACAATGGGAACTACAAGGGGAACCACAACGGGAACCACAAAGGGGAACCATAACGGGAACCACAAAGGGGAACCACAACGGGAACTACAACAGGAACCACAAAGGGAAACCACAACGGGAACCACAAAGGGAAACCACAACGGGAACCACAGAGAGGAACCACAACGAAAACCACAACTGGAACCACAACGGGAACAACAACGGGAATTACAACGAGGACCGCAACGGGAAACACAACGGGAACCACAACGGGAACCACATTTGGAATGACAACGGGAACCAAAACAGGAACCACAACGGGAACCCTAGCATAGAATCACAGCAGGGGTGACAAGGCAACCCGAACGGAGACACACCAGTAACCGCAGAAACCAGGACGGGAACCACGCCAGAACCACGTCGTCGGCGCCGTCGTCCAGCACAGCAGCTGTGGCAGCTCAAGTGTTGAAGGCAGAGCGCTACTGGTTCCATCGCGGATCATTACTCTTTGCCCCTGGCCTACAAACTACCATGGCGAGCGACAGCTCGAGTGACGTCGAGATTGTCAGTTCGCGCTTTGTCCAGCGCACGAGCGAAACCACGTCAGCGCCGCTACGCCGGCTGTGGGCATGCACGGCCTGCGGCGGCGCTGCTTGCAGCACGCCGAGTGGCGCATGCCACGCCTGCTACCCACCCATCGACCCGACCAGGGGCCCGAAGCGCAGGAGAGTGAGTCGTCTGTCCAAGGGCACTGCCAGGCAGGCAGACGCCGCCGACTCCGTGATCGGATGCCACCCCGAGGCTAGGTGCAGCGATGGGCGCGACAGAGCCCACGGGGCGGATGGTGCACCTGCAGCGCTTGACGTTGACAGGTCGCCTGGGGGTGGCAGCGCACCAGATCTGGACTCGTCACCGCCCAAGGCTAATGCCCTCGCACATCCGCCGAGCAGCAACCAACCGACTGACAACGCCAGCGCGGGCGCGTGCGTTTGGAAGGCCAATACCGCGGGAAGGCGCAAGCCCATCGCATCCCCGACGCGCAGACCTCCCGCGGCTGCCAGACATCGTGGCGGCAGGATCCCTGACGAAGGCTCCACGGGCGTGGCGAACAGCCAGCAAAGCCGCGGCCCCCTCGTGGAGATCGGCCCAGAGACTGCGTTGGAGCGGCGCGCAGCACGCATCTCCGACAAGCCCTTCAAGGTCCGCAGGGGCGGCCTATGTTTATATCTTTGCGTGGCGGCTGCGATAATCGGGCCTGCCGCGCGGCGCTCTCTGCCCGTGAAAGCCCAGATCTGCTTGGCCCGCAACATCAAGAAGAACAGCGTCGCCGAGGCCAGGGCACGCGGCGACGCCGACACCGCGGGTCGTCTGGCAGGCGGCGACGGACCAGCGAACCATCCTTACACAAAGGATTTCAAGTACTTCGCGAGGTATGCTGGCGGGGCTATTCAGGTTCACGATGAGGAAGAGCAGACGCCAGACCATGAATTTCGAACAGAGGAAGGGGGCGGCGATCCCATGCTCACTGCCGGGCACTGCCCCACCCACAACGGCGCGGGCGTGGCGCGCCGTCAGCATTTCGACTTGCACCAGAGTTACTCGCGCATCATGGACACTGCCGCGCCTGACCCCGCGCATAGGCCAGCCGACGGAGGGGGTCGCGAGCACCGCGCGCCGCCGACGACCGCGCGTGGACCGGCTGAGAACCTCGGTCTCAGCGCGCCGCGCTTCCAGGCGGCGGCTGCCCCTGCAGGCGGGCCAGCGGCTGCCGACGGCGACGGGCAAGCCGCTCGCCCGCCCGCTGTGGACGCGCTCAGCACGGCACAAGGCTTGGACGTGGACATAGCGAGAGAGTACCCCACGCGCGT